TTCAGTTTGGTGTTTTTTGGCAGCTTCTTGTGAATTAAGCTCTTAATTTTCTGCCTTTCCACTCCAGTTTAATACGGAGACGATGCGCGCTCATCCTGTCCGGTCCGTCGGTGCAGGAATGTGATGTTTGCTCAGCAGGAACACACTTCTCTGTCCCTGAACCAGTTCGGTTCTTGGGTTGTGGGCTTGCTTTTAATTTCAAGAGATGCATAATTTCAAAGAAACTTCGGGAAGTTCAATTAACGCAAAAATAAACACACACAAAACGCAATTTCGGACCTAAAAACTGGCTTTAAAGCAGAAATATAAGTTACATTTGTCTGTTTTTATTTGTAGAGAGACGCGCGGGGGGTCGTGTGAGCTCAGTTTTCTAAAAATAAAGTCCCTAAAATCTACAGGAAACTTGTTGTTTTTTTTCCCCCCCTCAACCGATAAGAGCTGTTTTGCCGTCTCCATTTTACGCACGGAGAAGGTTTGATTTACGCCCCGACACAACACGATTCAGTGAAATAAACAGATCTAAATAATTAGTAAGACATGCGTTTATAACTGATAGAAGTCAGAAAAGATTATTCAATTGACTTTTTTGGACTTTATCACCACAGTTTTAACATTTATAACCTGGAATTTTCCGGTTTAACGTGGAATAGTTCCCTTCCTGCGCTCCTCCGGTCTCTGCTCCTCCGCTCTGGCATAGGCATTTTTTTTTTGGGGGGGGGGCTCTTTATAACTAAAATCCACGGATCCCGGGTCCCTCTTCCTTATTGGTCAGGTGGCGCCGTTACCTCACTCCGGGTCCGGTGACGCAGCGTCTTCGCGCATCTTGTTCCTTCACGCTGAGTCTTCCAGCTCCGCTCAGAGGGAGAAAGAGCGGGTCCGGAGAGCCGGATGGACCGAGGCTGCGCTGCGTAACCAAAAAAAAAAAAAAAAACTTCCCTTCCTGGGAGGAGAGCGGCGCACACGAGCATCCTCTTACACACACTTTCCCTCCTCTCTCTCTCTCCCTCTCCCTCTCTCTCTCTCCCCCTCGCGCACGCTCCTCCTGCGTAGTAAACGGCATTGATCTGAGAGGCGAGCGCGGATCTGCGCCTCTTTTCTTTGACGGAACGACGCGGAGACAAAAAAAAAAAAAAAAGCTCCAAAGAAGTAAGTACGACGTTTAATCCCCTCATCGTGTCTGTTTCAGCTCAAACTTAAAGACTCTCTGGATCCATCCTGGTAAACGCGTCAGTCTGCGGCTCAAACTCGAGTTGTTCGGGGTAAAAGTTGAAGCTCCTGCTCTTTGGATGGTTTTTACGCACCTGCGCTGCTGCCGGGAGTTCTCATTCCACGTCATCAAAAACAACAAACAGGGGTTAAAGCTTAAATGGAGGTTTGTACAAGTGAAGTTTGGTTGTTTTCCTGCAGAAACCTCCAGAACAAACAGTGGAAAGTGCGCGCGTGCCTCTTCCTGTGCGTGTTGTTGGGAACATCTTTATCTGCCGCGCGTAAAAAGATCCGAGCCAGTTATGATCCTTGCGGTTTTCAGCTCTTAGTGTTTTATCTGTAACATCTAAAATCAATTTAAAAAATTCTAAATAGTATCCAGCTTGTATTTGTTTTAGAAAGTTTGCATTTTCCATAAAGTCGTGAAGCCAAGAACATTCTTTTTTTTAATTCAGCTTTGATTGAAGTCATGGAGTTGCTTTGGAGGTGTTACATTTAGATTTAAAGGTGGTGTTGTGCCACTTCCCATTTCTGGATTGCAGAGAAAGGTTTTCCTGCCCTTTACTTCCAGATTAAAGTTTCAGACACACACTCTCACATCTGCTTTCAGGGCTTTCGCCTTCATCAGAGGTTTCACCTGCAACTGTTAAATTGAACCGTAGACATAGAAGTGTGCAAACTGGAAAATAACAGGCAGTTTCATCTGATTTGACAGTGTAATTATACAAAGAAACAAAAAAATAATAAACGGCGTTTGAAGCTTTTCGAACTTGAATCATACACATTTTTCAGCGTCTGAACTTGTGCACAAAGTCATGCAAACACTGAGCAGTGTGTGTGTGTGTGTGTGTGTGTGTGTGTGTGGACAGTGTGAGTGTATCTGGGTCAGGGGTCAAATGTTTTTTTTTCTATTTCCCATTCATCTTATAGAACACCTCTTGTAAGGCTCCCCTTATAGACGGCTTATAAACAGTTTATACATACGTTAACTCTTATAAACACTTTATAAATCATTAATAACTGCTCATTAGGCATTAATTAAGGGTGACAAACTGACCAGTTTCTTGCCAAATAGAGAACCAAATCTGTTCACCAATATATTTCATCTAGAGTTGTTACATTGAACATTTCAGACGAAACTTGTAAGCACAATAAGCATTTGTAAATTAATCATTTACGATATCGTATTACCATATTTTTCACCGTACAAGTTGCACCTTTTTGCACAACTTCGCAAGTCCTGAGACTTAAACATCGAAGCGACTTATTTATGTTTGTTTCCCACTTTATTAGACATTTTTGGACTGATGTGACTTATACGGTGGAAAATACGGTAGTTGTAATGCAGTGATAAAGTACAATACTATATGCTAAAGAAATGCATTAACAAATGTTTATTGTGCTTACAAGGTAGCAACTTAGTCTGAAATGTTTAATATAACAACTCTAGATGAAATATATAGGCGAACCGATTTGGTTCACCATTTGGCAAGAAACTGGTCCATTTTGTCTGTCACCCTTAATTAATGCATAATAAGCAGTTAATGATTTATAAAGTGTTTATAGATGAATTAATAAGGTAACTATTTATTAGACGCCTATAAGGGGAGCCTTATTGTGAAGTGGTACCCACGTTTTATATAATTTGGTGGTTCAGTTGCACTTTGTGCTTTGTTCTTCTTTGAGCATCGGTTTGTTTCACACCAGTTTATAAAAGCTGCTGCACTGTTGTAAGGAACCGCAGTAAATTGTGAAACATTTCCCTAGTCGTCTTGACCCTTAAGTCTCTTGCAAAACAGATGCAAATACTGACGTGGTCGAACGCTGCCTCCGCGTGCGTGCAGGGATTGTCAGCTGGATTAAAACCAGAACGTTTTTTTTTTTTACTTTGTTTCCTAAAGAGCTGACGTTTGACCAGAATCCGTCTCCCTCGAGGCGTTTATTTGACTCCACACAGACCGGTGAGGTGAGATTTAGACATAATTAACAGTGATAGTTGTAGATTGTTTTAAAAAGAATAAGACGACGGCTCGCTCGGAGATGTGTTCAATCGTTTACTTTGAATGTAAAGAGCTGCTGCTTGCATAAAATGTGAAATAATTTATGTTACATGAACTTCACCTGCAAGCTCTAAATTTAGGCTAAAGCTAATGACTATAGCAAAACATGTTCATTCTTGTTTCTGATCATTTCAAGGAAAATAAAAAAGGAAAGATCTGTTCAAAGCACAAAATTTAAGTTACTTTAATAACAGTGTTGTATGCAGGTATAAATTATGTTCACATATTCACATTGTTTAAGTAAAATGATGACATTCAATACACTAAATATTCGTCGTCTCTCTTGTTCTTATTTTTATTTGGCTCCATTTTTAAAATAGAATTTTTTATTTTTTTTTGTACAGATATATTTATTGAGAATGCATAACGAATTAAAATTTACAATTAGTGTACAACAGTACTTTTTTTTTTTTTGATTGGAAAAACGAGCAACAAAAAAATAGAACCCACCCACTTTCTCTATGCAACAATACAAACATTTAGAAGGCCAGAAATAACAAATACAAATCAGTCTCTCAGGTCCAATCTCGTCAGAATGTCCAGAAAGGGAGTCCATGTCCGGTCAAACTCTGTTAACGTCCCCCGTACCGAATGGATAATTTTTTCAGGAGTGTAGTACGACAACAGCTCATTGATCCACTGTTTCTGATTTGGAGCGTCCATAGATTTCCAGTTTTTAAGTATACACTTTTTTGCTGCAGAAGATACCAGCAAAAAACAAAGTATCTCTTGCAAGGAAATAGTTTCAGGGATGAAACATCTCCAAGTATCCAAATCTAAAATCTAAAGACTGTGATGTCATTAGAATCACATTATTATTAGTAGTAGTAGGTTTACAACTGTACATTGTTTACTAGTATTTTTAATTAATGGCAGCCTGTTAAGACAAATATATATTTTTGCTGAACATAATTGCATATACATTTTATATGTCCGTGGTTTGAAAAATAAAAATTTGGTTGAACACTTTAAGTCATTGTTTGCACGCTTTGAAAAACTTCGTCTGTTAGAATATTTTTACTAAAACTACAAGCAGGTCTGTTTCAATGGTCTGAATGAAGGCAGGTGACAAGACAATAAACCTCACCATCATAAGATGTTTTTATTTATTTATTTGTATTTATCCTCAAATAGAATCACTTTATTGTGTGTTGGGGTTTAAAAAAAAAAAAAAAGTTCATTTTAGTATAATTTATTTTAATCTCACACTACCAGCGTGTCAAAACTGAGATTTTACTGGAAAAGATCTAACAGTCTGGGGACACTTAGTGATAACTTTTTAACATGTGCTTGGATTTTTGTCAAAATAAATTTCAATAAAACTCATAATTTGCCATCAAAATCAATGTGAAAAGCAAAATTATCAGTCAAATGAAAAAAAAAAAAAAAAGTTGTCATTTTGTCTGGAATGCCTCTGACAATAGCAAAGGCTCCTCACAAGACAAGGGTAGCCCTCAGAGGAAAAGAGAAATGAGTTTGGTTATTTCAGACAGGTGTTACTTCTCTGTGGGAATATGTCCTTGAACTATTTTAAAGAACGCGCCGCTTCTCGCCCTTGGCTTTTGGTAAAACGCTCGGAGCTCGTTTTTCCGTGGGGTTTGACGTGCGCGATCAACAGCAGCCATTTCAGGGAAACTTTGCTCTTTTTTCCAAGTTAACCACAGCAATCTTTGTTTCATCACCTTTAATTCCTTATATCTGTTTGTGTTTGATCGACTAGGTTAATCCTCTCGTTGTGCGTGCACCACAGAGGTCCCCTGGTCATGCCGGTTTAGCTGCCCTGCGTGATGCCTGATCATGACAGCACCACCCTCCTAACCAGACAGACCAAGCGCAGACGTGTCGACATCGGGGTGAAAAGGACTGTGGGCAGCGTGATATTCGCCCGCGCCAGGGAGACCCTGTTGGACAGCATGAATCAATCGCACGGCCCCGACCAGGACGGAGACTGCTCGTTGGTCAGTCACAGCCACGGGGGAGGCAGTGGCGACGGGGAGAAGTCCAATGTCTTGAGGAAGCTGCTGAAAAGGGCCAACTCGTATGAAGATGTGATAATGCCCTTTCCTGGTGCTACGATTATCTCGCAGTTATTAAAAAGCAGCATGGGGAAGAATGGGGGGAGTGATTCAGGCTTCCAGGTACAAAACACTTATAACTTATAATTTAGCCAACATTAAGACACATGTTCACTAATCAGCCGAGCAAAATGAATTATTAACTGGTGTGGACGATCAGTCAAGATTTTGTATTCCTGAAGTAGTATCTCACTGGACTGTGATTGTTGGAGATGAGTTGGCGACTTGAACTGGTGAGAAAAATTGGCAAATTTTCCATTGCAGCTTCATTTAATTCTGTTTGTGGCCTTAGCGGTAAAGGAAAAACAAATCATGGCGTATAGTTGTCTGCAGAACATCACAAAAAGACCATTCACATAATTTTATTCCCCACATCCTACCTGCTTCAGCCCTCTTTGTACCCACCCTCAAGCCGCCACTTAAGAATTAAAATAGGCACATTTGGACCAGATTTGAATTCAGTTCAATTCAGTTTATTTATAAAGCATCAAGTCACAACAGAAGTCATCTCAGGGCACTGAACAGAAACATTCATATGTATAAAAGTAAGTTAATAACATTATTTATCTGAGGAGCAGACTGATTTGAATTTAACTTCGTTGCGGACTTTTCATCTTGAGCAAACATGAAGGTGACAGTGGAAAGGAAAAACTCCCTCGTAAAAAACCTTTAGCAGAAGCAGGCTCAGGACAAGCGGCCATCTGCTTCAACCAGATGGGTTTGAGAGGACAGGAAGGAGGAACAGATGCACAATGGCAGGTCAATAGTCACATGTTAAGATTGAAATACAGTAGTCCCTCGCTACTTTGTGGTTCGTTTATTGCAAACTCGCTTTATCGCGGTTTGTCAAAATAAGATTGGACATGACACATTGATTGATGGATGAGCCACGCGATAGGCATGGAATTTTTATTTAAAATAAATTATTTTAAATTAATTAGTACCTGCTGCACCTGTGTGCAGCCCATACTGCTGGATAAGCTTCCTGCTGCAGCTGATCAGCTGTTCACCGTGCAGAGTGGAGAAGTGGGCGTGGCCCAGAGCACTTAAAGAGCAGAGGAGGCAGGGAGTTGAATTCATGACATTCTTTACTCTTTTATAGTTTAGAAACATTGTTTAGAATATTACAAGAGTGTGGTAAGGGTTTAAAACGCTTATATATATATATATATATATATATATATATATATAAATAAAATTACTACTTACTACCGTACTTGTACTACTATTCCTACTTTGCAGTTTTTCCACTTATCGCGGGGCTTCAGGGTACGGATCCCCAGCGATAAGCGAGGGACTACTGCAGTACCAAATGAAAACTATACAATTTTAACAATTCATTTTAAGAAATGAGGTCAATTTGTCCTCCAGTAGTCTAAGCCTATGGCAGCATAACAAGCCAAGCCTAACTATAGGATTTATCAAAAAAGGAAAGTCTTAAGTCCAGTCTTAAAACTGGACAATGTGTCAGTCTTATGGACAGAAACTGGAAGTTGGTTCCACAAGAGAGGAGCCTGATAATTGAAAGATCTTCTTCCTATTCTGCTTTTGGAAACGCTAGGAACCACATGTAAGCCTGCAGTCTGAGAGCGAAGTGCTCCGTTAGGAAAATATGGGACAATAAGATCTGTAATAGAAGATGGAGCTAGGTTGTTGAGAGCTTTGTACGTTTCATCATTTTAGAGGTTTATAAGCCAGAATATTAGTCTCAGATTTTATTTTATTTTTTTTCTAGAGGAGAGTTCTCATGCATCTGCTGTTCTCTTGAGATGGATTCAGGACACTTGCAATAACTAAACTACACTTAGAGAAAGTTTGTCACACAAATGTTTGGAAGATTTTCAAAACTGAAGTAACAAGATAGTTTTTTTTGACTCATACGAGGAATTTGAGAACCCCGGCAAAAGTTTTGAGACCTTTTGGAGACTCCCTTGTGAATGAAGCTACTCGTCAACAGTCACAGTTCATGAAATATACCTACCTTAACAAGCTGAATCAAAAGCATCTGGACAGAAAATTTGTTTTTCAAGGTGTTTCTTGAAATCTGAAAAGCTTTTATACTAAGTGAGTTCAGTACAGTTTTTAAATTTTGTGCTTGTGTTCTTTGTCTTAGAGAAATGGAGCTCTGTCTAGTGGAGGCTCTGAGATCCAGGCCGAGGACGCCTGCAGCAACTCTTCCCGTGAAAGTCCATCCGACTGCCTTTCTCCTGGGCCTCCTCAGTCTTCCTCCACCTTTGGACGACCACCACCTCCCTCAAACCACATCACCCACACCCCGGCTCAACCACTATCCCTATCCTCCTTTGACTTGGACCGACTGTCGGACGAACACCTCCAAGCCAAGCGAGCCCGCGTGGAGAACATCATCCGCGGCATGAGCCACTCTCCGCTGGTCCGACCCAACGACAGCAACCACAACCAGGAAAGCAGTCGAGAGAACGAGAATAGCAGCAACGACCACAGACGAGATGATGGACGTCACACCAGCAACAGGCGCAATGACTGCCCTTCGTCCCTCCTGAGCTCACCGGGTTCACGAGGTGGCGTGGTCAGTGTTGGCGAGGTTTACAGAGAGAATAAAAGAAAGCAGCGACTGCCTCAGCAGCAACACAGCTTTACCCAGCTGGTTTGTTCCAGGCAGGAGCAAAGACAGGAGGAGAGACGGCAGCTCAAACTACAGCTGGAAGACATGCAGGTAACGACTGATGTTGGTTACGACATTTACCACTACAATTATCCGCTACATTGCCCACAACAATTACTTTTTGACAAAGTAAATTAATAGGAAAGGCAATATAATAGCACAACATAAAAAAAGCATCAAGCAATAGCTGCTACTAAAGTTTACTTGTGCCATCTTATATTTTCCTTCACAACACAGTAGTCCCTCGTTTAATGTGGGGATTACATTCTGGACACACACACACACACATCGCAATAAGTGAAAATCCGCGAAGCAGCAACATATTTATTTTAGTATTTATATCTATTTTAAGACTTTAGAAACCCTTCCCACACTCTTGCAATGTTCTAAACTCTTAAACCTACTAATTTTAACAACATACTTATATGTAGCTACTAAATTTTATTCACCAGCTGGCAGAACAGCAGCAGCTCAATTCCACTCTGACTTGGTTCCGTTTCGGCGGACCTACCCTGCTGGTTCTGGTCGGCTCTCTGGCTCGGGGTGGTGGCTCCAGAGAGAAGCCAGACCTACGGCAGCGCGTCCCTTGCTCGGAAGTCCTTGTGGGCTAGCTACAAGCTCTCAGATTCACCGATGGGTCTGGGGTTCCAGTTCTGCTCCAGTTCTGTGCAGCACTTGGGTGGGGGCTGGACCATTGGGTGGCCAGCACTGGACCAGTGGTCCAACTGAGCAGTCCGATAGAGAGATGAAAAAAGTCCCGGTTGGCTCCAGAAGGAGCGCCGGACATACAGCGGCATGTCTTCTGCTCGGAAGTCTTCGTGGGTCAGCTACCAGCTCTCAGGTTCGCCATTGGGTCTGGGGGTCTGGTTCTGCTCCGGTTCCTGGTGGGTTCTGTATGGCTCTCTGAATCCGCTGGGTGCCAAAGCCACTGTAAAGACCAAACTTTTTCAGATCTGATCAAAACTTTTCCTCTACGTATTTCAGCAGAAGGTAATGGGGCTTCTGGGCAGGGCACTGTTGGCTTCTGGGAAATGTCCTCATGAGTGGTGATAAAGTGTAGGCTTATTAAGGGAAAACTACAAAATGGGGGCGCCTGTCCAAAGTATATTATTTTTTTGTTAACTTTTTACTGTACAGTATCCAGTACTGTCCCAGTCACGAGTAATATTAAAGTTAACAATTGTGTGTCCTGTACAATTTTTTTTTCTCGTGTTCAATCTTACTTTGAAAAACCGCAAAAGAGCGAGTCCTCGAAAGTTGAACCACAAAGTAGCGAGGGACTACTATATTCTCAAGATAAATAAGGTAAATTTATGTTAACAGACAGTTCCACAAAGTATCTTCTTTGTTTAACCTTTTCTTTCCTTTGTTTAGAAACAGCTGCGCCAACTTCAAGAGAAGTTCTACCAGATCTACGACTCAGAGACAGAAGAAGAGGAGGAAAATGGTGTGAATGGAGAGGCAGACCGAGGTGGTGATAGAGAGGAGGATGGCAACTTGTCAGAGGACAGTATCCGCTCTGACGGGCTAGAAGAGAGGCACAGAGACAGAGGGCGGCATAACCACAATGACCTGTCTGAACTGGACCCAGGGCTGTTCCTGGACCGAGCCCGAGCACTTCTACGTGAGCAGGCCTTGATAGACGGAGAAATGGAGGAGGATGTGGACAGCAGAGAGGAAGAGGAGAGAAATGGAGAGAGGGTGGTGAAGAGGAGAGGAGCAGGAGGAGGACAGCAGTTGGCTGAAACTCTAAAACAGGAACTGAATTGTGCCGTGTCGCAGGTTGTCGACACCGTCGTTAAGGGCTTCTCCTCGCCACCCAAACAGACCTCCAGTCATCATCATGGCTGCCACAGCAGCACACCTGCTGCACCTTCCTCTTCCTCCAACTCATCTTCTTCCTGTCCTCCACCCTTTGTCCCCCTGCCTCCCCTTACCCCAGACTCACGATTCAGTGGTGGTAACTTGGCCCTTGGTCTGAATGGTGAAAGCAGTCCTACCCCTAACTACCATTCCTCCAACCAGAGGCTGCACTGCTTCGGGGACGTCATCATCCCCAGCCCACTGGATTCCTTCGGTGGTCTGACTAGCAGACTGAGCGGCGTGCCAATACCCAGCGATCAAACAGAGGCACTCCCGCTGGTGGTGCGGAAAAGTGTGGGAAGTGGAGGAGAGAACACAAACCCCTCTCTTCCTCCTCCTCCACCTCCTCATCATCCCTCCCTTCACCCATCTCCCCTTACAGCTTCGCTTGGGTTCAGTCCTCCATCTTTTCGCCACCCGTTCCCTCTTCCCCTGATGGGTTATCCCTTTCAGAGCCCACTGGGGTCACATGGCGGTGGCGCCGTCTACCCTCCAGGGCCAAAGGACCACAGTCGGTCCTCCCCTGACTCCATGGACATAACCCGTGAAACTGTCAGCCTCAGAACCAAAATGGCGTCTCTTGGAGGAGGCCACATGGGTCATCATCACCACAGGCAGAGCTCTCCAAGCCAACATGGCCCAGAGGGTCTGTCGCTGTCTCTCATCAAATCTGAATGCGGGGATCTGCAGGACATGGCCGACATATCGCCCTACTCAAGCAGCACTGTATCCTTATCACCGCAGTCCATCTATGTGAGAAACATAGTGTTTGTGTGTGTATTAAATCTGAAAGTGCCATACTATCTATGGTAAAACCTAGTTTGAATCCCGATGCACCACCAGATTCGATAGTGATTCAGAGCACTGGTAATTTTATTAATGTATCCAGTTACACTTCAAACAAAATTGTGAACTTAAAATCTTTTCAGACCTAAAAAAAAATAGATACATATTTAGCTCCATTCTGTAGAAGAAAACTGTTAAATTCATACAGAATTTTAGGAATTAGAACAAAAAAGGAGTCAAAATGCTGACATAGGATCCTGAGAAGATAGATCTCATTACCCACTTTCTTCTGCGTTTCCGCAACTTTGTCGTTTGTCTCATCAGAGTGTGGGAATGACTATGATGATTATTGTCAATAAGTAAGTTTGATTTACAGTTTAAAATCTAATTTTATTCGAAAATGAACCCAATGGTGGGTAAACTAAGCTCACCCGTGGGCCTGATTTGGCCCCCGGGCCATCAGTTCAATAGCCCTGGTTTAGATGCTTTATGGAAAAACGAAGCAGACGATTCTTGCCATAATTCTCTATACCATAAGAGTCAGATTTTTCATACAGTCAAATACTGAGCCATCGTCAAGGCAGCAGCAGCAGGAGGCAAAGTGACACAAAGTCTTTAATATCAATTAATCTGCATTAATTAGTTCCTGCTCCGAGCCTCCTCTTTCCTCGGTTAGTGGGGAAGATGAAAAGGGCGCGCCGGGTCTTGCAAGAGGGGGAAGATTAAACAGGTCGCACGCTGCTCTCTCAAGCTCTTTTAAGTGTGTGCAGCAGGTTGTGTTGTTTAAAGGTGTGGAGAGAGGCCAGCAAGCTCCCTCTTCATCACACACACACACACACACACACACAGTTTGTCCTGTCTGAGACACTCTTGTGCTGTTAGGTTCTCTTTCATCGCAAAGACTTTGTACATAAACGCTCAAAGCAAATCATATTTCACTTTGTCTGAGTGTGTGTGAGGTAAGACCTTGTTCACAGGAGCTCAAAGCTAATCATATTTCAAAGAGCACGGCGCAGGAGCTTTAGCTTTATTCTAAAACTGCACGCTGGGCAAACAAAGAGAAGTGTATTATCGGAAACAGTTTCCAATATCAGTTTTAGCTTGTTGTCTCTCCCTCCTCCCTGATACCATTTTGGAACAACTCCTACTCACTTTCATTTGCTGTCCTTCAGTCTCAGTTGCTTGGCAGCTGTGTTTAGCGTGCTCACACACACACACACACACACACACACACACACACACACACACACACATGCAGCCTTTTTCCCGTTGCGTGCATGTGGACAGGTGTTTGCAGGTAGCTGTTTATCTTTTCGTTCCTAACCTTTCATATGGACTCTGACTCACACAAACAGGCACGTTTGAACAACAAAGTGAAAAGAAAAATAAGACTTTGAACCTGACGAACAGGGACTCCTTGCAGCTGTGATGAGCATCTGATCACAGTGTCGTCTTCAAAGCCAAATTAGACGTTGCTTTAATTAAAAGCAAGAAATATTTGACACGGCTCTTGATCCTGGCGAGGTGATTCACAACAAAATGCTTTTTTCATTCAGTTCCAGAAGGGGGGGAAAAAAACACCTTATCTTTGAAAGTGGACATTAGTATTTCAAAGACGGGGACAACCCTTCAAAACAAACGTGCAAGAGAAACCAAATTAATCCCTCACATTTGTTCTTTTGAGAAAACATTTTTATTTTATTTTATATATCCTTTAAGCAATTTATAGTTGTTAGTTCAAAACAAATCTGTTTTCGAGCTAATAATATTTTCTAAAATTTATTTTTATTTTATCTTTTTATTTCCAACTGCCATAGGTCGGCAATCGTAAATATCTGTCTGTGTGTGCAAGTGTTATACTGTCCGTTAGCAAAATATCAATTTGAATGAAACACTCAATTGAATTACCAATGCCACACAAAGAACATTATTAGCTTAGCTATAAATTCTCCCACAAGGTCGTATCTGACTTCGATGTGACTGTTGGACACTAGTTGATGACTAAAGCTCGATGCAAAATTGCTAAAGGTTTTAATTGCACTCACTGATTTACGAGTTTTTGCAGTCATGTGACCAGCAAGTGTGCGGCCACATTTTGCAAGAGCAGTTTTTGGAAATCACTAGTCATTTTTATGTGTGGCATTTGCCAAACTGTATTCTAGGCTGTGTACATCATTTCATTGCCCACCTCAGCCCACATTGTACCCGCCTCAGCTCACTTTATATCCATCTTGGCAGCTGCCCCGACGTTTACTCCGTCTACTGGAGTACACTTTTGAAATAATCATAGGCAGACTGAGACCAGTTTTTAAATAATCATTTGTGTTTGGTGGGCATGCGTTTTTGTCAGAGAGCTCCGTGTGTTCCTCGATACTTCCCAGCTCGACTTTCGAGGACTCACTCTTTTGCGGGTTTTAAATGTAAGATTGTACACGACACGCGACTGGCTGATTGATGGAAGTTGACCAACCAGAGCATTGTGCTGAGGGGTGGACTGGCCATCGGGAGCACCTGGACATTTCCCGCTGGCCTGGCCCGCTCAGTGATCGCCGAGGGGCCCCCCTCCTTTCTCTTTCTGAGGCTGTCTGTCACAGTAGAGCAGAGACACAAAACAGGCAGGCACGCAACCTGTTGTGTGTCTCTACTCTGCTGTGACAGACAGCCTCAGAAAGAGAAAGGAGTGGGGCAGGGGGTGGGGTCTGTCTTTCCCCATCACTACTGGCCATCGGGAACACCGGGAAATGTCTCAGTGTTCCCGATGGCAAGTCTGCCCCACATTGGCTCAGTAACCGTAGCATCAGTCTATCTGCTCTCTTACGCTGTGCTCTTTTAGAGCATTTAGTACATTGTTAAGAACATTGCAAGAGTGTGGGAAGGGTTTATAAAGCTTTAAAATGTATACAAATACTAAAATAAATATAACATTCCTACTTCACAGATTTTCATCTACTGCAGCTGTGTCTGGAATATAACCCCCGCAAAAAGTGAGGGAATACTGTACAGCCTTCGTGTTCTTGAGGAGGGTTTCAAACACCAGTAATTATCCTATTTTGAAAGACAATTTGTAACACAAGTTGTTTTGGACATGTTCAAAACTTGGGTGACCAGACTGCGAGTATCTACCACTCATGCAAGGACAATGAGAACCTCTAAAAATGTTCCAAGACCTTCTAGAGACTAACTCCATTGCAAATGTTCAACTAGTTGCCAGCATCACAGTGATACTTCTTAACAAATGTAGCTTCCTCTTTCCCTTTGGTGAGGAACATTTCATCTCAATTAATCATTTCATTATCAAAGTTCATTGGTAAGAAAATCAGGGTAAAGCATGCTAGGCACAAAAAACTTGTAAGAAAAAACTAGTAAATAAAAAAACTGTTCCACTGTTTGCAGTTAACAGAGAACATAGCAAGCTGCTACATCATATAACATTTATTTTTTTGGTTTAAAACAAATTATTACTCACATTGTCAACAAAGGCCAGTTTAGCAGAAACCTTCACACGTTCTCTGAAGCTACTTTTATTCTGTCCATAGATTAAGATGCTCAATTTGTCCAAGTTGCATGATCTCAATAAGCATTTTTTTCTGTTTGTGGCTTCACTTCAGTGCAGTTTGAAGCCTTTTTCACAGATCATAGCTCATCTGAAACTCTCTACCACAACACACACTCAGGTCTGTGTATCTTTAATCCTTTGTATTGACTGAGCAGATGTCCTCCATTCATTTATGAATTTATCCTCCCCACCCCCATCGCCTCTCAATCAAGCCCTTCCATTCACACACACATACACACACCTGGTAACAAGGTCAAGTTACTGCTGATATCTCGAGCCCTGCACAACACACACAGACACTCTGACAGATATGCATTAGGACGAACGGCAACCAATAGGAACGTAGGAAAGGAGGAGGAAGAAGAGGAGTGGAAGAAAAAGAGCAGTTGTTTTGGTTATTCACAACTCTGCTATTACACAAAAACAACGTATCATTTGCTCTCTATTCACTGTGTTACCTCATAACGTGTTTATTCCAAGTCGTGTTTGCGCACTCATGATTGTTTGTGTTCCAAAAAGCACACAACCGGCTGTAAAACCCTGAACACGGTGTATTATTTGGCCTCGACACAGCAGTAAGAACAGATTGGTATGAATGTTAAAGGAACTGTGTTGTTGTCCGCTGACCTGATGATGAATCCACTGCTAAATTAATGATGGATGAGACTCAGTTCTAATTGAACAGTGTTGTTGCGTTGAGGCACTCTGGAAATGTTGCTCAATCACGCGTTGGGAACAGTAACCAAAACTACCATCTGTATTTGAAATTTGGTTGAGAGCATTAAAGAAAATTTACGATTTGCCAATTTAGGTGACAGTAATCAACGTAACAAAAGGTAGGTAAATGTCCCGTCACTGAGGGATTTGAGTAGTGAATGTCTTTTTATCAGAAGGGTTTTGCTGGACTGGACAGGGAATGCAAGTAAACCTTAATGTTTTTGGTGGAAGATATTCAAGTGGGCAGGAGTTACACTGTGTAGAAGAACAGAGATAGTTTTTTGTTTGTTTATTCAAGGAAGTGCAGAGTGACGAACCCTGGTGTGCAGATAGAGCGATTTTATCCACTACCAGATGCAATAGCAGAGCCAGGGGGTGTCTGGTGGTAGCCTTGCTACTATAGATTATCCTTGGGCCACTCTACAGTTCACCCCAATCATTTCAGGAAACTATACTTAAGAAATATAAAAACTTGAACGCTTAGTTTCTTCAAAAGATTGGGATGGCCGGTTTACACACACATGCGCCATATGGCAGTGGCTATCTTAAACTTTGACATGGCAACCCTATTTTCGATGGTGGCCTTTCATACACCTAGATGCAGCCACATGCCAAAATGGAAGGCGGTACCTTACTTATTTTTCAAGTTATCAAGCTCACAAGGTTT